AAAGGGAAATAATATAGATTTTTCGAAGCTAAAAATATAATTTTATATCTCCGGGCACGAGCACGTCAAACTTTGCGATCAGTGTCCCGAAAATACTCGGTCTGAACATTTGCCGGGTGTTCCTGACATCACGATCAAAGTCCGATCGCACGTGTTGAAAACTTCGTACTTGAATAGTTTCTTTTCGGAACGTAATTTGTCATATCCCAACAATGCCTTTGCTTTCCCCTGCATAACCGCGAGTTGAACTTTCCTATTGAAGCAGGGGGACATCAGAATACCCAAAGTCTTGGCCGATTCGTCCGCTTCGAGCCACTTTAGATGCACAGAGGTGCCATCCAGATTATCTAATTCAACCGCAATTTCCGAACTGCCTGTTGGAAGAAGAGATGGTTTAAAATCTCGCTTCTTCCGGAATTGCCATACACCGAGTTGGGGGTTCCATTTGAAGTCAATCAGGTACCAAAAGGATTTATCTGGTCTGATAGCGCCACCTGCCAGGCGGACCCCGTTGGACCACCAACGTAGTGCTTTGGCCACCTCTGGGACAATAGATTCCACAGACTGGTCCAGATATGGTGCAGCTTGGCAGACATCAATTGTCATCGACAAAACAAAAGCAATCGGCCAAGAGCGGAGCCCAAGATATTGACATCAGAAAGTCAAAGCCAAAGCCTTTGCTAATCATCATCCCCAAGAGAATGGAGCTAATTGCAACCCAGATAGGAGGTCCTGCCCCATTGCCTTGTCAACATCCTTGAAATGGAATCAGGGTCGGAGGAGTAAAGAAACGGTCTGAATCGCCAAACCCCGTACGCACCCGGTGCTTAGACTTCATCAGTGTATCAAACATGGAGTGAAGGGTACGCCATTGAATCCCAAAGCGCATGAGGCTAATGATTGCCACCCAGTGGAAAATGCGGTCAAAGCAGGACTTGGCATCATTGGATATCCAACCCGCAGGACGGCGTTGGAGATGTAGAAGGTCCTAAAAGAGCCGCTTAGTAAGAGCCAGATCGATGGCCTGGTGACGCTTGCGAGAACCGTGCAGACCTGTAGGGTTCAATTTGTACTTCTCGGCATAGGCCATGGCCGATTTCCCGACCGTTTTATTGTTGGCTTGGAGTTCGAAGTTCATCATTTGGATCGTGCGCATCAGGTCCACCCAAATTTTGCCTTGTTTCTTTTCAGTCGCAAAATTGAGCAAATGGCACCATTGGGATGGAACAAGTCCTGTCGCAAAAGGGATGGAGCGAAAGATTGTGTAACAGCAAGCAAGCAGTTTTGACTCTACGCCCGCAAGTAGCAAAAGTCACTCGATCTGGACAAACGTATGCGCAAGCTGCGATTTCAGGGCTGAACCTTTCTCAGGTTCCAAAGAAACCAAGAGAAAGGCCTTCAAGCAGGAGTGGCAGTTCTGGAAATAAGAACAAGAATCAAGTTGCAACAGATTGGGAATGAGATGAAAGCTGATTATGAAGAGCACGACGCTATTCTGATCGCTCGTTGCATGATGCAGATCAAGGCAAAGTTTGATACTGATGAGGGTCTGAACTTCATTCAACAGTATTACATCAATCAAGGACTGAAGAAGTTCGGTGACGATGGAAAGGATGCTGTGGATAAGGAATTGAGACAAATGCTCCTGAGAGATTGTTTTACTCCCGAATTTG